GTCGCCGTCGTGGTTTGCTTAAGATCCCTAATAGCCTAATGAGTGCTTGCTGACTTAAAATCTCCGTTCCGACGGTTTCTTTTTTTCTTGTCTTTTTATTTTATTTTTTTTTAATTATGCACTGTGTATATGTCCGGATTGAATTCATTGAAGGAAAAGCAATGATCACCTTATTTTCGCTTGATAGAAAATGCCTCTAAGTCTCTCACTCTAAAGAGATTTAAACGTAATCTGTTTCACAATTTCAAAACATGAATGGAATGGCTCAATTGTGATTTTGGATTTTGGGATTAACGCTTGTCGCAGTTTTAGGCAGCGGTAGTGTTAAAGAGATAGCGCTCTTGCAATGACTGGGCAGTATCCTGTTTAGTGGTGACAGATGTTAATTCAGGCATATAGTTTACACTTTCCTCTGGAGAAAAGAGAAAGTTCTCTAAAGTACTTGATCCTTAGCTCCGGTCAAAACCAGACATAAATATTCAAATATAGTAGCAGACGACGGTCTCATTAATCTAAATCAGTAACATAAATAACGCCAGATTTACTGAAGCTTTAAGCGTCTATCATTATTTTTTTTTCAAGGAAAAAAAAAATAATATCAAGAATACTTTCATCAGACTGAGGCAAAGGGATGACAAAATTTACGCCGAGTCTCTGTTAAATCATTTTCTTTGGATTTTACATTCGTTACAATATATGGTGATGATTGACATGTCCTCAGGTTTTTCAGCCATTGGCTGCGTAGCTAGTTGCCGGAGGGTAGAACTATCATCAGCTATCGTTAAATACACAACCATCTTATCTGGGTAACAGAAGCTAGTAGTTGCCTATCAACATAATAATTGTGGCCAAGAAGGACAACTCCGCTACATTCTGGTCTCAGTTACATCGCAAGAGCCACTTTCCTCAAGCTAAATAACCAAACGAACACATTTAGACTAGTATAAGAGCATGGGCAAGAAAGCTGGACAGATGCCCATAAAACAATCTGTTTCTCTCTTTCTCTGGGATCAGCTTCTCTGTGATCGTATTTCGCTTCATTAAGTTTTCTCTCTTCAACGCACTCCTATATAATATAATCGTGTCAACTGTTTTCTACGATCGAGGTCAATGAGATTACCACTTGGCAAAGGTGACTGCTTTTCCCTCCTAAAGTTACTGTTGCTAGCTGTTGTCTTCAGGGCCTTTAAGGGCCGCTGCAAGTGGATACGAAACCAAAGAGAATTCAAAATCTCTTTGAAAAGTGAAAATGACATACTGGATCCTTTTATTTTTTTGTTAAGTAAGCCATTTGAAAGCAATACATACGCACAGTCTCATCGCGTGGAAATCCTGCACGCAGGCGTGCAATGCGTGGAGAGTGGGCAGAAAGCAACGGCGATGACAGCTGGTTTAATACTTCTTTAGTACCAAGATATTAGCAAGAGAAATGAAATGATAAGAATTTTAATTTCTAGCCTTATTGTGCCACTGAGAGAAGAAACAAAAATGTAGAAAATACTCTAATGCACTGGTGGCCGTTGGTGTTTATGTTGTCTGGAATTACCCCGCTTCAAACGGTCTCGAGTTAAAAGCACCACGGCATCGAAAAACATTTTAGACAAGACCGTAAGTCTGGGATTAAACAAATTTTTAGAGTGAATCGAAGAAGGTGATGAAAATAATTTGAAAAAGGGTTGTTCTGGAAGATTAAAAGCGCAGCAAAATTTGCACGCTTTGAAAAAACTACAGTCCTCCATAGAACTGGAAACTAAAGCTAATAAAAATTTAAAAAGTAAACCTGTGCACGGAAACAAAATATTTCTTCCAATAAATATTTTATTATCAACTGAAAGATAGCTGTGAAATGTGACAAGCCGACTTCAGTCATCATTCGGACGCATTCATTACGCTAAATATAGACAATTTATTTTGGACTTAAAAGTTAAGTGGTACAAGGAGAAATTTTATAACTGTTACACTTCGTCCACTCGGAACTATTACATGCCATGAAAGCGGGTACATTACGAGTAAATTTGCATTTCAAAGATCAATATTGCACAAAAAGGAATAAATAGTTTCCTTCCTCTAGTTTCTTATTTGCTATTCAATACTGCAACCCCCTGCCGGGTTATTTTTCAATTTTGGGAGCAAACATTTTCTTGTTGATGTATTTCAATGTAGTCACGACTGAAAGCTTTTGTATATGGCGCATGAAAGTAATACTGTCAAGTTTCCGAGACCTCTTCAATCAGGCGGATAAGAGTCAACAAGAGATAAAAACAATTAAAAACTAACGATCCAGTATTTGAAATAATTCTTCCACCAGATTGCCATAGTTTTTTTCTTCATAACAAAGTGATATTTTCCAAGTGTTGTAGAACGAAGAAATTACGTGATCGATTCTAACGTGAATGTGCTCCGTGTAAAAGGTTAGACAGGCGCAAACAAACATACAGCATTCAAACGACATTTTGTTTATTCTAGATAAGGAAATGCATTAGACTAAACGTCATTGTATTTGCGCTCTTGGTGGGTAATTTTCACACAAAAAATGCGTTTTGCACCCAATTAAAACAGGCCGTTCTGTCACCCACTGAGCGCAAATTTTGTGTTATACGAAGAACATGATTTGAGCTTAGAGTTTTTGTGATCTTTTAGTACAACATTTCGATCTCATTAACGCTCCTATCGGCCCAAGCCCAAACAACACTAAAAATACAGGTCATGTAGAGGTCAGAGGCAAGAGATGTTGACTATCATAATACTGAATAATTGTAATTCATAAAATTCTTTGTGGTGTTTGGTTTCGGCTCGTAAGCTCACTTTAGAGAGGAAACTATCCTAGCGCGTCTTAGCCATTGTAAAAACTATCACTCCAATCGTCGCTTAGAAGACGACCAGATTTATTTTATGGGCTGATAAACAGCGTTCTCTGTGCCACAAAACTGCGATCTATTTGTCAAGATTGACAATTTGATTTCGCTCTACCGTGCAAACATTTTGGGGACAAGTTACATTGCATATATACCGCCCCACCAAGTTTTACGCTTCAGAGAGCAGCGTCGGTGTACATTCAATGCTTGGCAAAGAACAAGAGTACATCGTGAGGTTAAATTCAGAGCACACAAGACCTGGGCTGTCGACGATGGACATCAAACAGAATACTAAAACGAAAGCTGGGAAAACTTTCGAAGAACTGGTTGAAGAATCTCTTCGTCTACCTGAATTAAGCCCCTCCAGTCAACTCCCTCTGAGTATGACAGAAATACTCCGAAACTCGCAGAAAAACAAGGACGTTTCTACTAAATTACCGCAGATAAATGGTGGAAAAGTTCAGTTAGTTGCTACAAGCGACCCGTTATCGAGCGATAAGAAAAGGAAACGTAGAAACAAATCAAAAACAAATCGTCCTAAAAGACCTTCGCCACACTGCTTCTCGTCCGATGATGCGAATGCCAAGATGCGTGTGACTCAATGTGTTAAGCCGTCAGTAGGCTTAAAAGACAATAACCACCTGAACGCTACAACGAACACAGAGAAAGAGCAATGGAAGAAAAAAATGCATACGAGGCACAGTAAACGGCGAATTGCCGAGGAATCAGAAAGTATGAGCGTGTCACTGACAGTTGCAACTTACCACCATTAAAAGAGTAAACACAAAATCATTTGTTTATCATGGCATGGCTTATGAAAACAATATTCGCTCGCAAAAGTTTCGTGGATTACTTCTTCATTTGCGGTCGCTTCATGGCGAGCTTCAGTTCGAGAAGCAAATGGTTTGGATACGAAATATTCAGAACTTGAACTCAGCACCACCGAAAGTCTGCAGGTAGATTTCTGACAGCCAAGAATTCTGCGCAAACGTAACGCCACCGAAAAGTCATGAAGAACAAGTTCATCCTAACCAGTTTGTTACGGCAAACCTGGTATTTCTACATAACATCTTTGTTAGTCATCTTAGTAAATAATATAATGACTCGACTTAGAACTCGCAGTATTTCGATATCATATGTCTTAGAGGCAGAGAGATCGCTTTTCGTTCTCCTTCGAAGAAATATTTATAGCATTACGCAAAACCAGAGACACACTCTTGTTTCTGAAAATCAACTATTGCACGATTAAGTCTTCAACGTAGCATAACAAGGTCTCAAAATTGAGAGAACTGGCTTACAAGATAAAAGGACAATCAATCAAAGCTTGAATTAAGATGCTTTGTTTTCCTTCAGAGGTGTTGCGGGAGATAGTTAATTCTATTGAATAACCGTCGATGTATATTACTGAAACGGAGTAAAGAATGGTATTCTTAATTATTGAAGCGTGCAATCTTTTGACCATGTTAAAGAAAGAGGATGTATTCCAATTTGAACTTTAAATCCAATTAATTTTGAAACGTTTAGTAAGTTGCACGTTAAGTAATTGTGCGATATTTAATTAAATTTCAAAGGTTTTATAAAGTATTCAGCTTTTCTAAATCATTGTCACCACCTGAAAAAGGTTGCACAATCTATAGCCGTGTGTAAACGATCACGGCTTGTGGATTCGAAAACTGGAAGTAACATCGGAATAAAAAAAGATTTACGAGATTACAGTCAGTAATCCTTCAATGTGGATAATGTATTCATAATGAGAATATCATGCGGTTTAGCAGAACACAGATGGTATGACATACCTCTAATTTGACGTTATTTATTATCATAAATCTGTTGTTCGATGTACTTTTCCAGTCAAGATGTCTTCATAAGTATGTAAAGTTTTCTCTCAATTAATTACAAAATAGAAACTTTCGGCTGCTCTACGAGGGTTTGAACTTTTCTTCGGTGTAATCTTCAAGCACATTTCTTACATGCCGCTTTTCTTATATTAAATTTACTCAATCACTGAGTAAACTTAGGAGAAGTGAGGATTTGAAATCTTCCGAAGACGTTTGGCCTCGCTTCCTTTCGACAGAAAGTCACGTTAAATTCTTTGAAATCACGAAAACAGCTTTCCACGGAGTGTTTCACTTTTTAAGGGAGCCATGACACCATTTGTGTCTATTGAAAATTTTCGTCTAAAGTTTTCCGACTTGCATTTGCAGTAAGCAGTAGCCAATGAGTGACTTAGAGTCCTTCAACATGAGGTGGCAAGTGGCTTTTCATGTTTGGATTTATGTTTCAGCGATCTCTTCCTATCGAACTGAAGCGTAGCGAGGGAAAGAATTCCTACCAAGCTACAATACCTGAACATCCGAAATGCAAAATGGATTAGGATTTTTGCGGTTTTTGATATAATTCCCTGTTTAATGATATACAAGCAAAAATATCAGCAAGCTCGTTAGCTGGGAGGGGTGAATGCGTTATTTTTGTCTATGAAAGATTTGATGATCCTCCTCATTTGAGGAGCGAATCTCGGGGGGGGGGGAGGAAGAGAGGTTCTAAGTTGACCCATCCATTGAAAGGTTTTCGATCCTGACACATCACGACGTATGTAGCTCGCAGTGTCTGATTCAGACGGCGAGCGAGTTTTAAAGTGGTTTCCTGCACGTGGTTTTTGGTTAACAACACGATTTCTCGAGCAATTTGGTATAAATAAGCACTTGTTTCAAAGACTACAAATTGCACTCGCCCTACGTGTTGTCTTTGAAAAAAATTACTCGTGCGAATTGAAATCAAACTGCACTCAAAATCATGTTATTATCTATACAAACAGTGAGCGACAAGACGAACAAGCCGCCCTATGTAAAGATCATCAGGTAATGAATATAGCTTCCATGTGGTTAGCAGCATGACGTTCAATGGTGATTTGATTCGTAAATTCAGCCAGCCCACGATATAGAGAACGTGCATTTATGATTTTTTCCCCTTTTCGATTTATAATTCGAGCCAAGCCATGAATCATCCTTACTCAATTAACACAAAAGTTCGAACTTCATTTCGGATTTTCAAAGTTTCGCCACGGGAGACTAATCCCAAGTTTAAACGGGATGATACTAAAAGCGTGAATGAGGATCGGGGACTGGGTAATGGATAACGAGGAGTGGGGAAAATGTGGAATGGGGACAATGAGGAATGGGGACAATGAGGAATGGGGACAATGAGGAATGGGGACTGGAGAATGGGGAGTGGGGAGTGGGGAATGGGAAATGTAAGAAGAGGATTGAGGACTGAGGAATGAGAAATTATACTACTAATAAACGAGGGCCCAAAATTCTCGATCTTTTTAAAATCATTTGACTCGAATATCAACATTTTGAGAAAATCAAATAAAATTAGATCCACAGGCACTGAGGACCACAATTTAAGAATAGCAATCTTAGAACCACAAAAATGGAAGAAGTATGCCCGAGAGACCATGTGGTTTCATATCTGCTGCTAAAAAGCAAAAAAAACTTACTTATCATCACGTTTTGAGATTCCCGAGAGAAATGGTCTTTTCAATAATTGTCTTCAAACGTGCTAATGAACCGACCTGGTAGGCCACCATTTTGAAAACAACTCTGTTACCAGGTCACACGCGCTACAACAGCCGAAATCAAGACGACAATTTGAGTACTTTAAGGATGTGTTTCTTTGGCTACTTATTATTCAAAAATGCTCTATAAAAGATAAAAAAAGGGTGGATTGAGACTTGTTTAAGTGGTGTGGGCTACTTTTCTAGCTCGTGTTATAATAACTTTGGAATTGTGGTAAATTTTTCGTAGTCTCAAAACGCGTTCGATGTCACACTTTTTAGTGGTGAATATAAAAACTATGCTTACTTCTCCTTTAATTAAGCAGAAGACTATTTCTACTTCCCTCACATTCGAGAGCTTTGGCATTGCATAGCTCACGAAGTCATCACTTTGCGCGTTACCTGATCTTCTCCAATATGGGCATCGAAGGCAGTTGACAAAACACGCACTTACTTTCACTCCTTCCTTTGGAAAAAAATACAAAACAAGTCGAAAAATCAAGATGATTAACCTTAAGTTATTTGACACTATTTATTACACAGATTTTCAGTGTCAAAAGTAATCCAAGATTAATTTGGTTTTGCTTTTCTTCGCTAAATAAAATTGGTTCAGAAAACTCGCTTCACTTTATCAACCAATCAGATTCAAAACTGAAACCCATCGCGACTGGTAACTAGCGCTTTCCCGCGGTTGAAGGCTTTTAGCTGTTTACATTTTCCTCTCTTCTGATTGGCTGTTGTGACTTCCATTGGTTTTGGTTTTACAACATTCAATTGAACGGCGCCCTTATTGGTTTGTTTGCAAAATCTTTATCCCTTCATCTTTACTTCTGGCTAAGATTTCACTTAGTTGTCAGCTATGTTGTCAAAAAAAGAGCTTTGTACTGATGGCATGTGTATTATGAAAATGTTAGATTTTTTGATGAAAATCGTGTCATAGCCTCCCATGATCCCAGGTCGACCTTGTAACCTTCTTGTTTTGTAGTTATCTCTAAAACTTTTTCTGACTAATTAGACTGAATTCCCGCAAATTCATTCAAATTAGAAATAATTTTGTAAAACGCGGATAAAAAAGGCTTAACAGTACCGTGAAATAATTATGCCTAATATTGGGTCAAACAGTTCTCTGAAAACTACTAAGTGCCACCGTTACTCAAAACCATTATCGTTTGGATTCTAAGGGCTATAATCAACCCCGTTTCTACTAAAATAAACAAAGAGATGCCCTAAAACACTAACGAACAACTCATTAGCTTAAAAGCTTGTTTATTTCGTTCAATAACCGAAGGAGCGGGCAAGAGATTGGTAAAAATGTAGTTCCATTCCAGTACCCCCTGGTTATGTTAAAAGTAGGCGGTCAAAGAATCGCTCGAAGACATCGTTCGCCGCGCGTATTTCGCAAGGTTTCCGTACAAAGACATTTCAAAAACTCGTTGGCATAGCTATACCGCAATAGCTTTCTTTGTCTGGATCGAATGAAGTCCGTAATGTACCATCACTTATCGCAGATGATTTAATGTGTTTTTAACAATAGATGCTCTTGAGGATTAAGACTCCAAACAATTATTTTTCAGCCTGTAAGAGAACTTAATTGAACACGTGGTACATGTGTAAATTTTGTTTACCTAAATAATGAAACACGTATTGACTGCAATATACCAATGATATTGACCTGGTGGTAACATAGATATGGAGGGTTCGTAACTACTCGCTCGTTTCTAGCAAGTGTTCAACAAGGAATGATTTAGTTCCAACGATGATTCCTAGCATTTTCGTGGAGGCTCGTAATGCTCCTTCGAGAACGACACAAATGCCTTCAGAAACTTCGTTTCAGACAAAGAAAGAACTGTTCTCGATCTACCTCCAAGAGGCAAAGCTGCGAAAAGAGTTGGAAACTCCGATAGACGATGACAAGCCAAATCCGCTTAGGACCTACCAGAGAATGGAACACGAACTCGCCGAGCGGCGCAAGTTTTTCTCGTTTAACGGTCTGACGAGGTGTAAGTCGCTACCGAGTATTTACAACCCTACACTACACTCACAGAGACAACAATCATCAACAGCTTTTAAAATGGAATCAACAATGCATCCCCCCACACCTTCGATAAAGGAACCATTGTTTACCAAACGTGCAAATTTGAGTTTGCAAGAATTGGCCAAAAGTTTGCGAGATATCAGCGATGCTAAAGAGTCCGCGCCAAGCTTTAAAGCGGCACCGTCCTCACGCCCAGACGATAAGGCGGTGAGAAAAATTAAATGCCGTCCGGGCTTAAGGAGAACAAAATCGGATTTGCCTGGAACATCAAAACAACGATGGAAGATAACAATTCATAAGAGGATACCAATGGTTATTTGACCCTTTTCTTCGGATCCCGAGATCAAATTCGTAACTCTCTCTGATAATTGCTATACACTTCGATTCCTTGCAAATCAGTGGAGAGAATTTGTATGACACTGAGGTAACAGTGCACCCCTTTCCTGATAAGTATTTATTTTCTCGTCACCTGCTTCATGTATGATTCATACATACTGCACGGAGAATTTGCGTGTAATCACTTCCAGGAGGTAGAGAATTGCATAAAATGTGACTTCACTTGAAGAAATACTGAGAATGAAAAGGAACAAAAGAAAATGTGAAAAATGAACATAACAGAAACAAAGACATCGAGTAACATTTCAAAAAGTCACTTTTCACTCTCAACGTTAAAAGTAGAGATGTAATCAATATGGTTAAATAAAATTTATGGATCCAAT